GATAAGATGTCGAGTCGTATAGCTAGAATCGTGTCTAGAAACAACAACGCTCTCTGTTGTCCAGTTGTTGTAGAAATACTGACAACTTATGAATGAAGTGGCGTTTTTACTGAGCAAAAGCGATATTAATACGACACATTCACGCATCTTTTATAAGTGTTGTTGCTAGTCAAAGCTAGAGGGCGTTGCTGTAGCACGGCACAAATAAAGTGAGAATACCTTTGGAATTTTATTTTCAACTTTACTGCGTCAATCGTAGAGTTTATTTCGACATTTTGTGTAGTAAACCCTTTCAGAATGAACCGATATGTTGCTACGTTTTCTCTTCTCTTCTTTATTTTTACTCGTAGTTGTCCCGCGCCTTCGAACGTATAAATTATTGTCTATGTCAATAGGGAATATGCACATTTTTGGAAAATGTTTTTATATGATAATTTACATCGATATATAACTGTAAAAAAATACCCGGCATCGAAATACTAAAATTTTGTAAAATTTAATAATTGATGAAAATAACTAATAGCTACGAGCAGTTTAAACACCGGAAATTTTGGCGTATGCTGCAGCTACGCGTAGGTGAAATAATTATTAAAATCGGTCCTGTAGTTTCAGAGCCTATTCGATGCAAAAGACAATCAAATCTTTCATCTTTATTAGTATAGATAGATTTCCCTTTTACTATTTATTACAAAATCTTTGGTTTCATTATTCAAATAGATATAATTACTGGTCCAAAATAATAGGTTATTTTACAGACTTATTTTACAGATAAAATATATTTTCTTTTTCGCAATATTCTACATATAAACTTAGATTCAATTTGCTTAAGGAAAACGCTTGTGCTATAATTAATAATAAAATAAAACAATTTATCGTAAATTTTTATTGCAATAATACATCAATATTGATATGAAATAATATAATAATTTATACTAAAATATGTGCATATACATTTATATATTAAAATACATATATAGTACTTACTGCGGTTTATATACATGTAATAATCTTTCAATCTGTGAGGTAGTCAAAAATTTAAAAAAAAATACCTTTAATAATTATAACATATATCACATTGCTTTTGTACATTGCAGTAAGATACAATTGATGTGGCTAATTGGTGTATAAACGGATGCACTTGAGCACAATATGTCAAACTTCTCCAATTGATTTTAAACTCTACGTTCAAAACAATAAGGTTAAATATCAAGTGGACAAATTTAATAGTCTATTATGTAATAGTCTGTCGACTACAGTACAGAAGGCTAAATTTCGCACACAGCAAATATCGGCCAATCAGAATGATTCAAGTATTTTACGCCATCGAGCGACCCACCAATATCCACGCGTAATGACATCTAGTTCATTGTATTTTACACCTTATGGGCTATTGAAACAAAACTCATTACACATTATAATCGTACTTTCGGTCATCCTCGAAATCGGTCTGTAGCCTTATTTTCCAATTAAAAATCTATGACCTTTATAAGTATTGCTATTATGATAGTGATTTATGCAATTATATAACGTTAAATTTACAATGGATCTGGTAAAAATTATGATCTGAATCATCATCAATAACTTAGTAACTAAAAGTAATATTTGCATTTAACACTGGCCTTGGACGATTCCAATTAACGTCAAATTAATGATATCGTTCATTCGGGGTCTTTCAAAAAAATGTCGCGAATGAGTGAATTTAGTGAATATCTTTCAAATATCAAATTGAAAGGAATTGCGATAGGTTTTTAAATTAGACTGTTAGGCCTTTGTTTTGCACAAACAAAGAGACATCACCATGCAACATAATAACCAGTGGTCGGAATTAGGTAGAGTTATTCATGTACTTACACTGATTTCATACAAAGAAAGAATAAAGTGGATATGCCTCAAATTCCGACATTAATTTTAAAGAGCAGAAAAAATCCCGTGATTTTTTAAAAAAGTTATTTTTTTTACACAATTTAAACTACTGCACGCACGACGTTGCCAAACTTACATCAATGAAAGAAAGAAATAAAGAAAGAAGAAATAAAGAAATCCCAGGAAGGTCCACATTAATGTCAACATTTCGATGCAAGTATATAAATAACTCTACCTAATTCCGACCTCTGATAATAACATAATAAAGAAGTTCTGGTAATGGTCTTACCTATATAACTTTTTGTATTTTATCATTGAATTCATATTATTTGTCTTCTTCTATATACATAAATAGGTATACTTGCAGTCGTACTTTTAATTATGAATCAAATCAAAATCATTTATTCAGTCTAAGCTGTTACAAGCACTTGTGAATGTCGAAACTAAATGCCATCGGTTCGTAAATATACGGCGGGAGACTTTGTACCGAGAAGAAGCGGCAAAAAACACAGCAAGAACTGCTTATAACTCCCTGTTTTATTTCATTCTGTATGAAATAAATCATCAAGATGCAAAATGACTTCATAAAAATATGAAATTACTTTCCAATATTAGAAAATATAAATAAAGTAAAACTCGTCAGTCAACTTACATGCAAAGTCAAACAAGCTCACCGATAAATAATTTAATATACATGAGTATAATAATATAAAATGGACAAGAATAAGTAGTCTAGCAGCACCCGTATATAATAAATGAAATCACAAGATATAACAGTTTTATTATCAATACAAATTAATAATCATTCATAAATAACATATCTTTATTAAATAAACAACAAAATTAAATATAACAGTAGTTAACAAAAACCATGGAAAAATTGATAATTTCATACAAAAAATAATATAAATCACAATTCCCTCTTATTATAATTACAATAAGGTCCAAGCGACAACTATATTTTAATATGACATATTTCTATTAGCTTCTTATGGAAACGTCACTGGCGGTACCATCATAGTGAAAAGTATCTAACCATCCCAAATAATGTACAACCAACATATAAAGTACTTCAAAATTACAATTCCTTCAATAATTTTGATCTAAACTATTTTCAGGTTAATGCTTAAAATTGATTAGATAATATCTACGCTGGAAAGCAAACACGAGTAACCCGCAAAATTGTTCTTCAGAGCAGAAAAGATTTTTTTTGTACAAATAATTCGTATAAACCTCCATGGTAACAAATAAGGTCCTTAGTCAATTTATACGGAAATAAGTTTTTTTTTTAATATAAAGATTTTCCACTCTAAATACCCATTTTGGTTTTGCATGTTACTACGTGTTTACTTTCCAACGTCGATATGAAATTATAATTTAAACTCCTGTTTGCACATTATCACATGTTTTAATCGCATGCTGACTTTACATTAAGATTAATAAGACAAAATCTATTTTAAGCTCTAATATGTTCCAAGTATAGTTTAAAGTTGGTTGCAAAAATTTGACTTATTATGATCTGCAGATGTCAACATAAAATTGTGGAAATTATCAGTTTATAATCTGTCTCATAAGATAATAAACTGTCGTAGTTTTAGATTCGGTTATATATAGTTTCTTTTATTTAAAATTAACGTTATTTATCATAAATAACGTTACATATAATATATAACGTTATATATAATAGTTCCGGAGATTAGTATTCGTTTAGGTACATTACAAGACTATAAGATTATTTTACAGAAGTATCACAAATTATTATGACATAACTTTACCGTCAACTCTAAGTTGAACTTGAAAGTATACGGAATGTGTGCGACTATAAAACACTACAATCAAAACAATAATCCACAAAATCAATAGAAAAAATATTTATTTACGTATCAAAGCAATGTCAACATTTCTTTGTGATAAAAAAAATATTCAATTGTTGATAATGTATTTATGAAGACTAGTTTTCAAACTTATTTTTAAAGTTCCGTTTCTTCGTATTTTAAATTTAAAATATTTATTTTACAAGTGTGTAAGTTATATGGGTGTATAATCAGTGTTTTGTTAATAATATTATATAAATGAATAGTTTGTCTATGATATTGTGTTTTTACGTTACTTAAAGTAATAACTTTGTATTTTCTTCTTCACATAAAATAGTTGAAGGTCCCATGAATGTTTACACTTTTCTGACGTCAGTAGCCTTACTTCAATTCATCACATTTAATCTTACAACCTAATCAATCGAATAATTAAAAATGTTAAGTGTATATAAATTACTTTGGCATTACAGGTTATACACAGCAAGCAGCCTCCAACCCGATTTTATAATGTGATCAAGGGACTTTGCAGCCATCTTGAACTAGAGGCCCGGGGCAAACCGCAAAACCTCCCACCCCACCCCTATCAGTCCACCACTGATTATACATATCATACATAATTTTCGAATTTCTCCATTTGATTTTCTTTAAGCTTACATATACACATACAATTTAGTACGGAAACAACCGAAGATAACCTCCTTTTTTTAAGGCGGCTTAAGAAACCATATGTCGTTCAACTTATTCGTTTTAACTGTTATTTCTTTTGGTATTATGTTGTTGTAATGACAGATAAACTGATTAGAGTTACACTTAATACAAAGACAAAATATAATGCAAACAAAGCTCGATACCAACATGTCAATATTTAGACATTATCGTACAGTCAACAGCGCGTCAAATTATGCAAAACTGACCGGTTTCAAAAAATTAATCATATTGTGGTTATCTAACGTGCTGATGTATGTACAATATCAGAGCTCTTTTCATCTCACAACACCTTTTAGTTCCAAAACTTAGTACCCTTAAAAATTATTAGCTATTGCAATTTCTCAAAAAACAAATAATCTGCGCACTTTACAATGTCAGTGTCAATTTAACAATGTCAATTTAATGGCATAATATCTGTTGACGACAGTTTTGCCAGCCTCTTTAGACAAGGTTTTTTTTTATTTGAAATGTTATAACTTGTAACTTAATTATTTTTATTTATTGTTGCCTTGTCTGTGTTTTTACTTACATCAAAGTTATTTTCAATAGACTTCTTATTCAATTTGTCGTCTTTAATTGTACAGTTCACACATTAGCTGTAGCCATGGTGTTTTATCAATTGTCTGTGGTCTGCAGTAGCGAGGATGCGAATATCTGTTGCATTATATGTGGTAGATTGGCGACGTCCATACATACGTGAGCGTGACCTACCGGTAACTGCCGTAGTAGACTGAAAAAAATACAAAGAATAATAATAGATAGATGTGTAAAATAAAATCGTATAGTATTTTTGAAAACTCAACATAAAATTTGTTAATAGTTTATACTTACTTGGTGGCTTCATCTCCAAGACTACCAATGAATATTACATGGGCCTGCACTCTGTGATCTGACGTCAGGATTGTACCTAGCTCCTGAGGTTGAATCCCATAACTGTCGGACAATTAAATAATCCTATTAATATTATAAAGGCGAAAGTTTGTAAGTATGGATGTATGGATGTTTGTTACTCTTTCACGAAAAAACTACTGGACGGATTTGGATAAAACTTTACAGCAATATAGGTTATACATCAGAATAACACATAGGGTACTTTTTACTGGGAAAACTTCTCACTCCCACGGGATACCGACTTCCACGCGGACGAAGTCGCGGGCGTCCACTAGTATAACATATTAATGCAAATTTCTGCAGCTAGATTGCAACACGAGCTTGTGTAGTAAATATATATATTTTTTAATATAAATGTCAAACCTCATTCACAGAATAGTGAGCAAAGAGTAAACTAATATGTGTAGGAAATTAATATTTTTTATATATTTATTTACTGAAGCAAACAAACAATCTTACACAATTTAAATTAAACAAAAAAAATAATAGAACTTATCCCAATAGTTAGTTTTTTTTATACATAAATGTGAATTAAGTGGTATGTAACATATTGCATAATTTTTCTTATAACTGCGGATTGAGGATGAAAAATATTAATATAGTTAAACACTTTATTGTAAATATCACATGAGCGTCTTATGAATGAGTTTTTCCGTAATTAGAGGCTCTGCTCTATGTCTCTAAGTTTGAGAAACATACATACATTGCATGTTTAATAAAAATTTGTAATAAAGGGAGTTGAAGTTAATTTTTCTAATCCAACTAATTACTGTTAAATTCAAATAAACAAAATATGCAAGAATTGGCAATATTCATTTAAAATAATATCTATAAATATGATATCATATCCTAAGTCATATTGAATCATAAGGATTCACGAAATGCCAACGAAAAAGCGTCACAACTCGCCTTATGTGACTAACAGAAATTAAATTAAAGTCAGGAAATTTGTGGGATGAGTGAAAGAGTGTGATTTTTTCCAATAATAAACCATAACTGCATATTTGGATATGAGATGGAAGGGAATCATGCATTTCCAAAAACAAAATGTTCGTAAAAGTGTTTGTTTACTAATGCTGCCATCTACACTGAGGTTTGCGTAAAGCAATTGGGAGACTATTAAAAGTTTTAGTTGGTGGAATTAAAAAAGTAATTCCTATTTTAGACTCCGAAGTCCAGCTGATCTTGAATCATAAATCTGTTCTTAATGAATAATGCTTAAAAATTTGTCCCTGGCACTCTGAGTTGGGAACTGAACCCATGACCGTTGGCAATCCGGGCGACTGCTCCAACAACTGAGCTGCCCATGACCTAACAGAACTGATAATTTTTTCACGCACTTGTTATTTTCTTGAGCGTATTTAACACCCAAACAGCCGAAAGAAATATTTTAACAAAATTTCTTTCGATAAAGATGATTTTTTTTTTTGTTCCTTGCAATGTATTTTTTTTGTGCAATAAAGTTTTAAATAATAAATAATAATAATAATGAAATTTGTCCTAACTCTTATATTTGATTATTTTCGAATTGACAATGCTATACTGGAAAATGCACTTCGTCCCTGGAACCCATCCCATCTCAGAGTGCCAGTCGAAATTGATCAAATATAACATTAATGTGTGTATACTTGGCGTTTTGCCTAAAACCTACCCTAAAGCCTAGTATTGCATCTTTACATTAGGGGGTGTAGGCATCACTACAATGCTTCGTTGAGCCTTGAAAACTTAGGCTTTGGCTTAGCGCTTGGCCTAAATTGGTGTGGAACTCAATTTAACATTTTTGTACAATAAAACAAAACAAAATTGATTAATTCATACGTATTTCAGATATTCTATCCATATGTCATTTCGAAACTCACTTCACTTATGCCACGAAACGTTACTATCAATTCAAGGTTAAGCGGATGTCACTTTCGAAGTGAATTCAGACACTTGTGTGAATTCAATTTTTTACGGAATCGCTCTGCAATTCTTACCGTCGCAAGTTAGCATCAGATAGAATGAGTACTATAGCCTCGTCGGCATCTTCGGTGGCGATTGTTGATATCGCGTGTTTCGCCGCCGGTAGTGTATTATCGCCCGACCAACAGAATTGCGCGTGCGCATGCATCGTACGAATTATCTGTATAAAAATAGATAACATACATTATTAATAACGTAACACTGAGTTCAGCTTTACCTTCATCAGCTTAATTTTGGTTTTAAGCTTCAAGCTTAAACCCAACTACTGGAACCACAATCGTCTATAACGCACAAGAGCGTTTTTCCCGCTAATCACTCGATAAACGATAAATTTACTGTCCCTCTCATGTTTCAGTGGCGACAGTGAGACAGAATTACAGGAAGTTCCAACTAATAGGACGAAGGGCCGCAATGGTTAACGTGCGTGGCCTGCGATACGATTGTTAAGCGACTTTCGCAATGGTTGGTCATAGGATGGGTGACCAAAACTTTATCATCTCGCGGTCCTCCGTGGTTCGGAAGGCACTTTAAAACGTTGGTCACAGCTGCATCTGCAGTCGTTAACACACACCGATCCACACTTGGCCCGCGTGGCGGATCATGGCCCATTCTCCCTGTTCGATTCGAGTCCATCCACAGGGGAAGTCTTAGCACCTGCAGTGTAGACATTTATAGACTGGAATATTTTTTAAAAATTAACCTGAAGAACAAACGAAAAAACTATGATAGTCTTTTGTGCGTAAACCAAAGTTGACAACCCTAGCGCGACCGCCAAGTGTAGGTATGAAAAATTAAGTACATACATTTGATTGCCTTCTGTTATATTCTGTTCTTTCACGTTTACAATATTAATAGGATATGTTTCCCATAACTGTATATTATTCTAACCTAGCCACAGACTAACCCATACCTGTAATCTCTCTTTCTCGTTGTTAGGCGGCCGATCTACTCGGACCAATTCTAGAGCGTGTTCCTCTCCAGAATGTGCGTATATATCGTAGCGGATACGAGCCTCGTAACCGCGTAGAGCCTCAGTTACTAACACTACCGCCTCCATGGAACGTTCCAAACGGCCGTCGTATGAATTAAACCTAAGTATAAAACAAGAAATATTGTGAAATGTTTATTTAACACTTTTTCACGACGTATAAGGCCGACTGATAAAAAGCTGGTAAGTTTCTTTCGCTTGTTCTTCTTGTCAGCTAAAAGACGTCCTGAACAAGTGGTAGGGGAAAAAATTTTTTTTGGACGATTCAAAAGTGCTTGTAATAGCCTACTTGAATAAAGATATTTTCATTTCATTTCATTTCATATTTTCATTTCATTTCACTTGATGCCTAAGCCATTTTCTTCCTGTCAACCTTTGGGAGATGTGGAGCTAAATAAGAGGTAAGGTGCACAATTACAAACAATATGGCAACTGGATAAGACTAATATAGACTAAATAAGTTATCTATCAAGATACCTATACATTTTAAATACATAAGATATAAGATGAATAAATATGAATAAATGCGTACATAAATATAAATACATGCTCCAAAAAGAATCGGCGTAAGTTCGTTTTAAACGCATACCAACTGTTAGAACACATGAGCACGCAACAAGTGTCACATTATCTATAGATGTCACGACAATACATTTGAAACTTGAAAAGTAATTTTTGTTTGACGTATTGAGTTCGACGTATTTATTAAGTTTAACCAATTTTTTGCATCTGCATATCCTAATGATAGGATATAACGCCCTTCCATATTATTAATGTTGATTTGAATCAATACTGAAGTCGTATTCAACCAGTATAATTTCCATTAATTAAGCTGAAAAAATTGTTTTAATATTTTGAATACTCGCGTAGGAAAGCTAACCACCATTCAGTTTCATAACGTCACTCCACATTTGACGGCTAGTTTCTAGTGTGTCTTTAATAATGGACACGTCTTTAAAGTGGAAAAAGCAAAGTGCATAAATACAAGAGAAATAACACAAAAAAAATCCAAAGCTGTTTCTACAGAGGATCTATTTCTTTTATTTAATTGGAGAGTAAAATGATTTCTTTCTTATATTTTCACGCACACTGCTCATTGAATAAAAAGCTTTTGAAACGGTTTTTTCGAGTGTATTCTTGAAAAATTTTCAGACACTTCCAATCCTTTACAGATTAAGAATATGAAAGAAATCAGCAGAACGTGTGTTACCTATACATGCTGCCAGACACATCTAGTACTAATCTTAGCCGCTTGGGGCGCTGGTGAGGCGCTCCTGGAGGAGGTTCCTGTTCCAATCGACGTCGATATATAGAGCGCTCGCCTGTCAATCCTGATTAATAAACAAACAAATTTATGATCATTATGTTTATTGCGTAGCCCTATAGCAGAAGCTCAGACTTTCCTTATGGAGGCCATGACCCTCCGGGTTAGTGTGGATTGGAGGATATTAACAACTGCAAATGCAGCTAGGACCAATGACTTACAGAAGCTTAAATGGCTTAGAAACATGCTTTTGGAAGCCGGAGTAACTAGTGATAATAACTTTTGGTCACCCATCCCGTGACTGTCCCGTCCCTTGCGAAAGTTGTTTAGCAACAACGATCGCGGGCTGCGGCGCTTATCTTATAATCCACCCGGTTACTCATATTGTTTATAAAATTTAACAAAAATTTGTGTAATCTATACTTATATTATAAAGCTGAAGAGTTTGTTTGTTTGTTTGAACGCGCTCATCTCAGGAACTACTGGTTCGAATTGAAAACCATTTATCGAGGAAGGCTTTAGGCTATATAACATCACGCTGCAACTATTAGGAGCGAAGAAATAATGGAAAGCGCGGACAAAGTCGCTGGCGGCCACTAGTACGTTAATATTTATAGTAAAAAGTATATTGAGTGGGAAATTGTTTTTGTTTAACCTTGATAATTGTGATAACCCTGTATTTTACATTGTTCAAGACTTTTCCGTTGTTACCTTCTATAATTTTGCCATCATCCAGTTCCCCACTGGTCTGATGCCGAGTCCACTGCCTCTCCTTTTTCTTCGCTTGGAGTTCAGCTAACACACCACGAAGTGCGCCAATCTATATATACGAGTATAATACAAATACATATTTTTAACGAAACTTGAATCCAAACTTAACTACATCATATGTATAAGCACAGAACATAGAGAGAGAATAGAAGTAGTAAGTGGGCGGGGCACGCGTCGCTGGCATATGCGCTTTTACTCATATGACGCCCTTTCCTCGGTTTTATGTTTGCCAGTCGTTCGTCAATCGTCGAGTGGTGATTTTACAGATTTTTTCTATAAAAAATGCCGTTTTGTGCTATTATCACTTGCAAAAAGCAAAGCAAAGTATACAATCTAACTAATGCAAACATTTCCTTTCACTGGTAAGTACAATTTTAGTGCTAAAATATAAAAAAACGTAATAATTTGACACAATGTTAAATAAAATATACATTGATTGCTCAAACCAACATCAATGTTTCTGACCCCATTACTAAACAGCAATGTAAATCATTTTGTGCACTTTTGCAAAAAATAGTGCTGTGCCACCATTTGTCTGAAATGTACCGATAGGCTGCTGCTGCTCGGAATCGTATTGTTAATTATATGGATCGTAATCGATAACTAAAACATATTTATTTAGAGCTTTTCTTTCATCATTTCATAACAACGTTATCGATAAATATATGCCATAATTATATAAAACTAAAAAATACTGTTTACAAGGGAAAATTATAGATGAACTGATACTGAACAAATGAAATAATGAACTGTCCAGGCACTTTTTTTACGAAGATTCGGTTAATTATTTACACGCAGATAAATATTAAAAATTACTGATGTGCTATAAATATCTAAGTTACGAAGTATATCACCGTTTTATGAACAATACATAAATTAAACGAAACTTCGTGAAAAGCTAAGAGTTGGCCTAATAGGTCTTGTTAGAAACTGGTGAAACTGGATTTCACTTATTTTGCATTACTTATATTTCAGTTTCCCTAATAACTTTACAACGGATTGCCTTGTTTACATAATTAATTTTGCCCTATCTGTTTCAGACCTAAACCTATCAAATGAATTTCAAAACAACATAATATCTATACAAACAAAAAATTATGTTTTCAACTAACGTAATATTGTTGGTGGTGTGAATTTAATTTACAAAATTAATTTTTAGGCGTCAATTTAATTTACCTTATTATGCTGATTCATAATCGAAAACTATTATTATAGAAATCGAGTTAAGAAAGCCACTTTAAAGAACCGCCCACAGAACAGCTTTTATCAGTTTTTTTGTTGCTCCATATTTGCACATAAGTTTATAGACGCATGTCTCAAACGGATGTGACTTTATATGTAGATTGACGTTTGTACGTACTTATCGCTTTTGTGTCTATCTTCAAACTTTTTTTGTCACGGCTTTCAAACTCATAATTGACCAGCAATTCCTTATTGTCCAGTCGTTGCAATTAATAATGTAGCTACTACTATTATTACAGATATAAAACTTAGAATAATAAAGTAAAACAAACATGGCTATGATCAATTTATTAGTGTAATGATCATATTAGTTATTATGAAATGAAATGAAAATATCTTTATTCAAGAAGGCTATTACAAGCACTTGGAATGGCAAGTTTATTTTTATTTCTACTTTTTTTTGTGAAGGAATCGTAATGTTTTCTTGCGTACATAATATTTTCATTGATGTATTGAGAGGCAACAGTCAAAATATTTATTTCTTTAAATATTTCTCTGAGAGATTCTCTAGACCGTAAATTATATATAGCGTGGACAGCTCTCTTTTGTAGAATAAAAATATCTTAAATGCTAGCCGCAGAACCCCATAACAATAGATTATACGTCATTCATTACACTATGAAAATAACTAAAATATACCAATCTTGCCGTTTCAACATTTGTTAAGAGTCTAATTTTCTTAACAGCAAATGCTGCAGAACTCAGTCTACTTGACAAATTATCAATATACCAAAATACCAAGGAACTTTGTCGATTCCACCATCTCAACTTTTTCACTATTTACATTTATAAGTATATTAACATGCCTCACATTAGGTAATACAAACTTTATGTATTTCGTTTTATTTGAATAAAGCTTTAAATAATTACTATCAAACCACTGTAGAAAATTGTCGAACTGAATTACATTGAACTGTTTCATAACAAAATTTAAAGCTCTTATTTTATCAACTAATATGTCACATCACTAATATGCACAATCGGAATGATACCAGTAAGAAAAAAATACAAATTAGGCTTAATGTAATTAATACAAAAATTCTGTTGTTTTCTTAATTTTTGTTTTTTTTACACTTTCCCTCGCTTAATTATATTACTCCACAGACATACGATAGAGTGTATCATTAAGTTTTCTTAGTTTTTGTACTGCGTTTTTTAAAAGATATTTTAATAAATTATGGAGGGAAAAGCCTTAATTTTTCAGTATTCACTTGGTTACAGCAAAATCTAATATTAATAGTTCGCACATAAAATGATGACCCCATTTTTTTTAAATGTGCATAATCTTAAAATATTTTTTTCCTTCTGGTATCCCCATATACAGCCACGTGACAGTTCAACATTCATGTTAAAGTAAATTATTTATTATCACGTTGAATTAGAGTTTGTTTTTAACCGTGTGATTTCTTAGCTTAGTATCTTTTTGGGATTTGGTTTATGTTATCGCGAACCTATCGCGTGGCGGTTTTTCATGTAGTGAACAAAATGATCATTTCATCTAATCTGTATTTGTGTGCGGAGAGGCGACACTCGGTTCCCATACTAAATTAATATCATTATACTTCTAATCTCTCTCTATATTCTGTGTGTATAAGGGAATTTATTGATTTAAATAATAAATTCTTTTTTTTTACAAAATAAAAAACTATAACAGAATAAACATAATAACCAAGAAAATGCGAGTAATTTTATATTTAAAAACTAAAAACAAGAGAATTTATATGATTGACGTTTTTAAGATTCCATACCCAAAGGGCAAAAAATATTAGCTAGACAGTTGAAATTTTTGATGTACTTCTGATGCCGCTATAACAACAATACATAAACCAAACATATTTTTTTACGTTTTTCATAGATAATGTTATGGATATTATTTATATAGAACAGCATGCATACGATTTCTATATACGTTTTGTCTACATCCAAATGTCACTTTATATTACTTTTCTTGTATGTATATAATATTTCACTCTCGATCCGTCTCTAGACTCTCTTTTAGTGCATGGGGAAAATATGAAATCCTTTATTTAAGGAAAATAATAGCGACAGGCTTTCATATTGTAAAGCAGTATTTCCCAAGTTGAGCGATAACGCCTGCAGACCTAAAAGAAGGCGGTAGGAGACCCAGAAAAATAAATGGAGGCGTTTCTAGAGGCTCAAGTTATCAAGAGACTTGTATAATACCTACTGGGCTCAGGTCTCAAGTTCACTCTTACGGGTTATATTAAGTCTCGTTTAGAATGAATATTTATTATCCGCAAATATAGCTCACAATAATACAATACATAAAACAATACGTGAAAAAATGGAGGCGCTAAAAATCATTTATTCTCAAAGTAAAAGTCACAGTAAACGAAATAGGTTTGGGAACCCCGCGATATTCATAAGCGTACAGTTTTTCTATAACACTAAATTAGATCTCACCTGCGGCTGTACGGCCCTCAAGAACTGTTCGTATAATTTTGCATCGTATTCACTCATTTTGATCTCATTCAGTCTCTCTTCGAACGCTTTCCGGTTCATCTCTCGCGCAGCTTTCTTCACGTGCTCTGGAATGTCGTCTTTCTCCGCGTCTGATAACTGGAAAGATTAAATTACTCTATTTTAACATTTAGTATAACTATTTTGAGTAGCTCAGTGGCGTAGTGGATAAGCGACGCGACCCGCGATCTTTGTAAAGCAACTATCGCCAGAGTCGGTCACGGTGACCGAACAATTACTATCTCGAACTACTTCGTGCTTGTTCCCGGCTGCATTTGCAGTGGTTAATACCCTCCGATTCGCATTGGGCCATGGCCCGTCCTCCTTAAACCATCCATAAGGAGAACCAGAGCCCCTGGAGTGGGGATGTAAAAGGGCTGATGGTGATTTTATATCTACAAATCGATCTGATGTCAAATGAATCTTATGGTGTATAGAAAATGCATGAGCTATATTTAACATGAGGTACTGTACTGTACATATTATAAACCGACGACCTCCGTAGCCGAGTGGTTCGCAGCCGGTTTCAAGGTGTTGCCATCTGAGGTTTCGGGTTCGTTCCTAGTCGGGTCAATATAGAAGAAGGACTATTCTATAATGTCTCGGGTCTGGGCCTTCGTTGTCTCAGATACTCTATAATACGGGGGCGTTAGCTACTCATCTTGGAATCTGAGCTATGTATGTGATGTGGTCTAATATTTAATATTTGTTTAGAGGAGCTCGATAGCACAGTGGTTGTAGCGCTCGATGATAGGGTAAAAAAAAAGGAAATTATATTTAGTCTGTCAGTCACATGATAGAAAATATGTATTTATTTCACTTCAATTTAACAAGAAATAGCATTATGGCATTAAAGTTGAGGAGCGGGGCCCTGACGTCACATTTCGGGAGAAAATATACAAAAGTGAGACGTCGTGTGACATTTTAATTCAATGTAAAGCCGTTATTTAATGATTATGCAAAAATAAAATAATGCGTGTTTAAAATTTCTCAACGATCTCCCTAACGGACAAACGAGAAAGATTGAGTTGTCATCCTTATTTACTGACAAAATATTCTTAATTAAAAATGCTTAATAAATCCATTTTGTACCTGGCCCTCCGAGATGGGACTCGAACCCGTTCCCTTTCGTAATTTTTCAAGCACTTGTTACTTTTTCGCTCTTTTCGTCAATTTTTGGCAATCCATCCAAACAGCCGAAAGAAATATTTTTAACAAACATTTTAAACTTCCAATAAAGATGAAAATTTGCTCTTATTATTATATTTGATTATTTTTTATCTCAATAATAATAATAATAAAGTATTTATTTTGTCAACACACAACACATTGTAAAACAAACAAGACAATCAACAGTTAAGTGCTGGTAAAACTGGCTATTGCCTATTGCACTGATATTTTGCTGAGGCCTGCAGTAACAACGCGGACTACGACAAAAAATAAATAAATAAAAACAAATAGAACGACATAACTGTACTAATAACAACGAAACACAAACATTTTAGGGAATTCTACTCTCATTAATTTTAATTTTAATTTAAATAATTTCTATAGGTATAATAATCATTATATTAATATACTATTCGCTTATGCAATACTGAACAAAACAATAAAATTTACACTTGATAAACTTCTATAGATAAGTAATTTCAATATCTTATCAAATTTCTGCATTACATATTCAAGGTAACAAAATTTCGGCAAATTAAAATTATATATACAATCAACTTAAAATATTTCTAGTTTAATCACATTCTGTGAAAGAAAAATAATAAATTAATCAGATACTGAACATTAATAAGATCAATATAAAAAATTACAATGTAAATTTATCAAAAAACTCCAACTAACATGCATTAGTATAACCAGTCCAAATAACACATTCATTATAAAACTCCAAAATCAATTTATATTCGATCGAAATCGGTTTGTCTATATCGATTCCCTATTCCCTAGTTTTTGATACAATATAGGAATAAAGACTCATTTTTTTATATTCACACAAAGTGATCGTATTTAAAAATCCAAAAAGATTTTATGTCAGCTCCTTCGTGTTTTTTTTTAAAGAGTATAATTTGTAGCCGATAGAGATATGATATTATTGTTTTATAATCATCAAACTACATTAGAAGAGGCCAATATGATATCAAAGTCAAACACTGACAGTGTTGTAGCCGCGGCATATTGAATAGATTAAAATCTAAACGTAAAAATGCTTACAAAAATTTAGGCACACTATCATTGGATGACATGATAGATTTAGACCAATATATAAAACTTAGCCATATATTAATTATTATTAATAAGATAACAGCACAATATCTTATTAAAATCGCTATACCTTAGAATGGATTGCGATACATTTCAAAATTAATCGAACCCGCTGATCATCTTTAGCAGGCTTCACAAGACCCCCAAGAACGTGTAAGACTCGAAGACAGAAGAGAGATAACGGTGAAGGATATGGTTATAGTAGCTCGGTGGCGTAAAGAATAAGCGCCGCGGCCCGCGATCATTGTTGTTAAGCAACTTTCGCAAGGGTCGGTCACAGGATGGGTGACCAAAAAATTATTATCTCGAGCTACTTCGTGATTCAGAAGGCACGTTAAGCCGTTGGTCACGGTTGCATTTGCAATCGTTAATACCCTCCAATCCGCATTGGGCCCGCGTGGAGGGTCATGGCCCATCCTCATTAACCATCCATAAGGAAGGCCTGAGCCTCTGCAGTGGGGACGTAAAAGAGCTGATGATGATGATGATGATATGGTTATAACCTGATGCACGTCGTGCCCCTTATCCAGCCTGTAGGGCCCGCCCTTGCCCCCGAGGCCGGCAGTGTCCCGCCCCCCGGTGCCGCCCGCCCACGTGTTGCCGCCCACGTGAGGTTTATTGTCCGGATCCTCTTTGCCGTGCTTCGGATTGGACACGTCCTTTCTATAATGCGATAACCGTAAACAGGTTGCAAAACCGTATTATTATAAAACCAGCTCTTTTGTACCAGGTTTTCAAAACACTTCTCAAGTCTTCAAAATTAATGCCTGTTATCTAATTTGTTAAATTGAAGTAAGAAAATACGTATCTAATATTTTTCTATTATCTGACTGACAGAATAAATAGAATTTCTTTATTGTTTACCCAGTCGTCATCCCTATTTGCTTTGGGCGGCCATTGGTTTAAACTAAATACTTACTTTAGTTCTCGTTTAATAATAAGACGGAAAACCTTTAGCAACAACGTGTTAGATCAGAGATTCGACCGCATTAGTCTCTAGTCATAAGATATGACATCTCAGCGATATTATGGCGACACTTCGTTTTATTTTATAACTTTGACATGATCTTTATTGACAAAGAACTGGTAGCAGTGTGATCAACTTGAGTTATTTAATGCAAATGCATCCACCAAAAGATATATCAAGGCAGTAAAATGAAACAAAATATCGATATAACATCGCTAAGATGTCGCATCCTATAGCTAGACTTAGGCGGTCGCACTCAGAGTATGAAAAAAGGGAGGACCACGGTCCGAATCCGGACCAACGTGAGTTTGATTTATTTTAAAATTATTTATTTATCTAGCTCACGAAACAAGCAGCAGTAACTTAAGTGAATAAATGTACAGAATTAAACAATAATCCATACCATAACTCGTGTACTACTTGTTCTAGTGAGCATAGACAGTATTAGGACCGCGGACCGCCAATTATTTTGTCTGTAGACATTACTTAATGCTTACATTACTTAATACGCGCGTAGACTGTAAACGAAAATATATATAATTTTTTTTTCTGAAAATGTCACGCCCTTCTTCCTCATATCAGAACTTAGAGAATTAAACCTTATGCATACATAGAATTATATTACTTTGAGAAGGGTGTCAGGGGGCGCTACGCCATAGCGACGCCATGACAGAAGTTGACGTTTTCGTGGGAAATTTTGAAAATGAAATTATATTTAGTATTTAACTTATTATATGATACTTTTTATATATGTCGCATCATCTTTACAAAGATCGTTTGATTTAGTTACTTTTATTTTTATTGCTAGTTACTCCATTACTTAATTACTCGATTGTAGAGAGACTGATCATCGATACTTTTAATTTTATTAGAATGGTGACACTGACTTTGACAGTTCGTTAACAAAAACCAAATTGCCGCCATTTTCGCACACATTCTGTTTTCGATCGCCGAGGAGTAAAGACATCCGACGACATCACGCTCATCTCGTTATATTTTCGTGTGAAAAGTGATAAAATGGAACAAATCCACGTTGGTATACACGCCGGCAGTGTTATTTTAAAGATAGTCCTCCGATATGGACGATCTATTTGGGCTTCGTAATAGACCCTTCTGGCTACACGCCGTCATATATATTTCGTGTGTATCTATAAAATAAAAAAGTAATCTACACCCCAATTAGGTAGTTCCTAGTCATTAGCAAAATGCACTTCACCTTAAACGATTGCTTAATACCTATGTAGGAGACAGGTTGTAGTGACTCTCAAATTTAATGAAAACGAGCATAAGACTCGTATCTTTAATCGAGTAAAAGATATATTTAAAGACTTCAGTATATTTAATTATTTAAGCAACTATTTTAGCCCAAAGATGAGAATTTGAATGAAATAAAAACTGTTAATGGCTTTTTTTCATCTAAGTATTATATTCTTACCCGCTGGTCCTCTCAATGGTCATCTGCAACTTCTTCATGGCTTCCTTCGACCTTCCTTCTAGGACACCCTCGGTGGGTAATCCGCTTGCGTGCAACACTTCAAGTAGGGTATCCGCCATATCTTTACTATAACGGTCGAAATCAAAGACATTGCTTATTGCAGTCGCTAGATCCTCGTCAGGATATTTCTGTTAACAGAGAAGAATATAGTGAATGAATGAACGAATGAAATTTTATTTTCTGTACACCAATGGACAAAAACTTTATAATTGTGTGTAGTGAAAATGTCAAGTGTAATTTTATACTTCTTAAGGTAAATTGTTAAATTTGATTATATAGTAAAAAACTTACTCAATTCAATTCGATTAGTTAGAGCAGTCGAAAGGATTGCAAAAGGTTATGGGTTCGAATCCCATTTCGTGCACACGGGAATGTCGTATTACTTAAAATATGTTTTATAAGACATAATAACTTGTTAATTAGTATCAATTCACTTCTTATTTTTAAACTTTCGCATTGCTTTATATTAGATTGTATAAAACGGATATTAACGCGATATATATCCTGACGTTTCGACCAGGTTACACCGGCCGTGGTCACAGGCTGAATGATGATGATGATGATGATGATGATAATTAAGTACTTACAGAATTAAGTACTTAAAAAAATATAGGCACGTTAATTTAATTTAGAAATATTAAGGGATTATTTCGATTCATACCGAACGTGTTGTCGGCCGTGGCTGTGTATGTGAACAATGCCTAAAATGATAGATATTAAAGCCTCACAGCCTTTATAAAGGTCTTTTTTACTTGACTGTGACTTGTTACCACAATATGTCGAATTTCTGCTATTGATTTTGAACTCTACACACAACAGATTATGGTACGAAACCAAGTGGAGAAATGTGACAGTTTTGCATAACCTGACGTGCTGTTGACTGTACACAATAGCAATCCCGTAAATAAGTATCTAATGACCATGAAACCTTTTACGTCCTTATGGATGGTTAAGGAGGATGGGTCATGACTCTCCACACTGACCCAATGCTGATTGGAGGGATTAACGACAGCTAAATAGCTTAAAGTGCCTTCCAAAGTACGGAGTAGGTAGCTCGAGATAATATTTTTTTAACCACCCATCCCGTGACCGACCCTTGCGATAGTTGCTCAACAACAACGATAGCGGGCCGTGGCACTTACCCACCACGCCACCGAGCTACTTTAATAGTACATTACGATATTAGTGCCTTATGATGGTTATAACACGCGAGGCGGAATTTCAGCCCGAGCCGAAAGCGAGGGCGTAATTGAGCCGAACATGTTATAACCAATACGCACGTATATCGTACGACGATTTTTAACACATTTGCGAGGAAACAGAAAAAAAACATTAAATAAACTCAATCTGTGAATGTAAACTGTTGCTTTCCCGCCATTTTAACAGCGCGCTAGCGCTGCCTACTGACTGGCGCCGCGCGGCGATTAGTTCGAAATTTGAATAGCAACAGCGCGCGAAATGGCAAATAATACTGTTATGGAATTTGTATGGACTATAACTTAACTATCTGCTTTGGTAACACACGCGTTTTTTATTACCCGCTTTACATATTCAAAACTGGTGGAATTACATCAGCTTTGCGAGCAAAGGTGTTAAAAAACAATATATACATAATTAAGAAATAATATCGGGTTGGCACAAAAGTAACGAGACACTTGGTTTAAGTTTTTCCCTTTTTTTTTATTATTACAATAAAAAAAGTTTAGTCAAGAAAACGGCTAGGAGCCAATTGAAAATCAGCGTCGGGTTCGATAAGGACCTGATAAATTGCTGAATTGGCTACCTTTTTTGTTGCGGCTGTGAGACACAAAATTCAATCCAGCCCTATGTATCATTTCTTCTTTTAAATTAATTGTATCATTTAAAAACCTTTTGTCAATTTTATGTATGTTTGTAGTTTGTCTCATGTCTGTAACTAAATAAATCTATCTCTCTCTCTCTCTCTCTCTCTCAATGATGTAATTACCATTAGTATCTAAGACTTCTTGCCAACGATCCGGCAAAGTGTGGATGCCTTTTGTCCAGAACTCTGATGGCTGTGCCTCGAAAAAGTTGTTCAACTCCGCCTCTACGTCAGAGAAATCATTAAATTGTTTACCCCGCAAATGCTGTTTCAGGGCTCTAAACAAATGATAGTCTGATGGGGCGAGGTCTGGGGAATAAGGTGGGTGGGGTATCGTCTCCCAGCCCAAGTTCTCCAACTGCCGGCGAACCACAGATGCGACGTGAGGTCGAGCGTTATCGTGCAGTAAAACTACATTGACTCGTCTTCGTCATTTTTTCTTGATAGCGGCAGATAATTTGGTAAGCTGGGTTGAATATTTGTCAGCGTTTATAGTTTCATTGTGTAATAGCTCATAAAACAGTATTCCTTGCGCATCCCAGAAACAGCAAAGCAGAATTTTTCGGCGGTTTTTTTGACTCGGCTTCGGTTGAGTTGGTGGCGTTTCTTCTCGAGGCAGCCAAAAAGCACGACGTGTATCGTTCTCGTAATAAATCCATGATTCATCTCCAGTAACCAGATCTGACAAAAACTCTTTACGTCGGGGTCGCAGCAAAAGTGACTGACAGATAGCGACACGGACTGCACGACTGGCGTCTGTAAGGATGTGCGGTACCCACCGAGCCAAAACTTTTCGATAACCAAGCTTATGCAGATGGTGTTCCACGGCATGGTGACTGCATTTAAGTGCTTCCGCTAATTCACGAGTGGTAGCATCCGGATTCAACTGCAGTTCGCGGCGCAAATCGTCATCATTCACTGCGGGTGGTCGCCCTGAGCGTGGCTGACTTTCAAGGCTCCTGTCTCTTGATTTAAAACGGTCAAACCATCGGGACACCGTCGCATGGCTTGTACTTCCAGCGCCTAATGCATTGTTGATATTGTCAGCCACAGCCCGCGCACTGTGGGCTAACAAGTACTCGTATAAGTATAGTGTTCGAACTTGTCGCTCGTCCATTTTTCTTCAAACTGACTAAACAAACCGCGAGCGCGGCTTTATATACCCTACACCAGAAGTACCTAGAATGTTCTACAACATTCTAGAATATTATCGAAAAAATTGATTTTAAAAAGGAAATGTTATAGATTTTTCTAGTGTGTCTCATCACTTTTGTGCCAACCCAATACAACACAAAGATAAACTAACCTGTAAATGCTTGACGATATTGACCAATTCTCTAGTGCTGTAAGGGTATGTCAACTGGCCCTGGTCTGCCTTATCGCGGAGAACAGCGAAAGCTTGCACCAACTTTTTCATTACATTATGGGGAACATCGGGACCGTATGACCGGAGCAATTCCATTTCTGACTCTATTGAAGGATTGTCAACTGCGTGACAGGAAAACAGATCACCTGTAAATAAAATATACATATATATATATATATATATGAACAGTGAGCAACGGAAAAATTTTTTAAAACAAATCTTAAAATAACTTCAAATTTCCAAATAAAACCAATACCGATTGCTAAAAATAAACAAAAATATCATATTTGACACGTTTCAGTTCAGACACGTTTGAAATCAAACGACAATTCTGATCTTTTATTATTAATATTTAACGAATTTATTGATTCTGAATGATGTTTTTATCTAAACATAACTTTACCTTGAGAGCATACAATTTAGAAATTATTGGGAAACATTTGTTGGGGAAAAAAGGTTACCAAAAATTCACTTGACAATAACCTATGTTTAGAATTAGATGTTTAAATGAATCCTAGAGTGCATATGTGACATTTTAAAGGAATTTTGATTAGAGCATTTATTCTAAATTCTCAGAACTATATCTAAAATTTTGAAGTCAATACATCAAATGTTCTACGAGCCTAAATACAAGCCAAATTTAAGACTTAACAGAATTTACATACCCAACGAAGCAAAGAAATCATTTCCCAAGAACGGAAAGCCAGGTCTGTTAGCGAGAACGATCATCCTAAAGTCATCATGCACTGGAATGAAAGTTTCCACATTACCACCGGAACTCTCCAACATATTCTTTGGCACTATCCTTCTACCATCGCTGAGTATCATCTCTCCATTCTCAACTAACGTTTTCAATATACATGTAACGTGTGTAGGAGCTTTATCAGCTTCATCGACTACTAGAACGTGGCCAAATTTAACAGCCTTCACTAACGGAGAATCTTCGTACACAACTATACCATCTTTCACAGTCGGTTGTACAGTTAAAGACTGAACAGTCGTGTCTCTGTGCAATTGGATGTATTCCCTTGGTCTGTTGAGGAGTTGGAGCAGTCTATCAGCTATCTTGTTTTTCCCAACTCCTTGATTACCGACTAGGAGTAAATGGTTGCCTAATAAAAAGTCTTGCAAAAGCCACTCTAGCAGCCTCACATGTTGAGGTACGTCGTAGAATAATATATCAGGTACTTTAGTTAAAGCTTCCGTTTTGAAAATCTTAGTGCTCGTGTTTCCTATCGTTAGAACTCCATTCTTTACGGAACAAGGTACTTTTTCCTCTGTAACGTTTCCACCGAAGATGCCAAAGCGTCTGGGCGGTTCTATGCCAATTCTTTGACTAGCGCCATCTAGCGCTCGCCGCGCCAAACTAGGCAGGAATTTAGCTAGGAATGTCCTTTGAACCGTTTCGTATGCTGAATCGGTGGGATATTTCGCCATTCTGCTGGCGATGCGCAGGAGTTGGCGAGTGGAAAGAGAGGACGACAGATTTTTGAGAGTGCTGTCTTCTGATCTTCGAAGCTCGTTTGCTAGATTGATGATTGAGTGGAAAGGTTGTGATATATCGCCGTACTAAAAAAAAAAATAAGTTTGGATATATAATTATGCCTCCCCTTTTTCAGGACAATATGTATTATGGCAGCAATATTCCTTACCAGCGTATTGATCACGAAGATCTCCTCCTCCTTGCTAAGATTTCTCATCTCATGGTACACGAAAAGACTAAGAAGCTCTGGGGACATCCAGTGCTGCCCCCTACCCAACACAGGAGGCTCGGCTAAAGCTACTATTCTGTAAAGAAATGTAAACAATAATTTCTTTGATTTTTTTTACAAGATAGATATTTCTCCTATCGATTTACACACACACACTCACACACTTTTGATTGTCCTTATTATATTTACGCATAAAACTATTTCCGTAGCAGCTCGGTGGGATATAAGTACCGCAGGCCGTGATCATTGTTGCTAAGCAACTTTCGCAAGGGTCAATCAGGGGATGGATGACCAATTTTTTTTTTCTTGAGCTAATCCGTACTTCGGAAGGCACGATAAGCTGTTGGTCTCGGCTGCATTTATAGTCGTTAATACCTGCCGATCTGCATTAGGGCATCGTGGAGGGGCAAGGCTCATCTTCCTTAACCATCCATGCGGAAAGCCCGACCCCTGGAGTGGGTACGTAAAGGGGATGCTAATAATAATGATGATAAAACTATTTACGTAGAAACGGCTTACGCATAATTTTTCAAACACAATTACTACAAGCATAACATTCTAAAGCAGAAATTGAAAAAATTGACATTATTGACTAGTCAAGTAAAATTGTGGAATATCAAAAATTTAAAAATACATACTATATAATGCATATACAAACAAGGTCTACCAACAAAAGGGATGCTTATCTAATACACATAATATCATAAATACCGGAACGCTGGATGTATCTTCTTAACGCCACTGTCTTCCAGGTCTTGTTCGGTGAGACCAGCGGACAGCAGTTCCTCATATCTGTCGTGACGTAACAAACGAGTGCCATCGTGAAGCTGCAAATCTCTGTCGTGGACCAATCTGAAATGTGCGTCTGATTAATAAATGTCCAAACATTAATTTCTACTTGGCAATAAGGTCGGTTTTAATATGCTCTGTAATACTTCCTTTAAGCTTAAATTTGTGTTTAGTGGAATAAAGAATGACAATAATATATCTTTACTATTGTTAATACACTTGAATAAAGAAATATATTCAGGGCGAAAAATCATTAAGTGCAGATTCTTATCAAGGCCCTATTGTACCCTCGCTTATGTTCCCATAAAAATACGCATCGAGTAATGACGCGTTCGCTTGATTTCATACATTTTTATTTACGGAAAAACAAATGCAGTAATAAAAAAATATTTTGTTATCAAAATAATATATCAAAACAGATTTCTGTATATATTTTTATATACTCAAAATGAAATATACTAGTCGTAAAATCGATCCAAAAATCCAATTTAGTCATCTTTTTTATTTTCTTAGAAATGAAAAAGAAATTGTTCCTTCATTTTGAAAATTAAAATTAGATCATGTTGCTATTTCTAAAAAAAGGATAATCCTTTATTTATGAGGTTTAAATCCATTACATATAATTTGCCATATTAGATTTTTTTTTTAAATTGCCTATCATTGAAATTTATGTTTCTATTTTTAGCCAGCAATCGATCATATGTGTAATTTCCATAAAATGCTTTTTATTTGGCAATTATTAGCATAGTCTTAGAATAAATTTGGTTTAAAAAATGGTAATTTCGTACAACCTCGCCTTAAGCACAAATGTCAAAAATCGTATTGACATTTACACGGCACTTACCCGGAGGTAAAGGTTACTAATGAGTCTACCATCATTCTACTATATAACCTACAAGATTTCGTCCGCGTAGTCAAAAATCAAGACTTTTTGCAGTAAAAAATAGCTATGTTGCTTTTTGACCTCCAAATTATCTCCTAACAAAAATAACCATCTTGCGATATGAATGAAAGCCAAACACACTTTCTAATTTTAATATTAGTATGGTTTTCGCATTCCGCTCGCTAATTATTAAACCCGTTATACATTATCGATTATATTACCTGTGCAAAACAGCAAGAGTGCTCGCGTGTATCCTATGGAGTCCATCTAATACCGCCATGTGCCCTTTCAGGGCAGCATCTACAAGAGGAGAGTTCCTCCACACTGTGTCACCGTTGTCTAGGGTCGTTCTTTGTTGCACCAGGTCCCTAGCAGTCATGTCTTGGTACAGGACTATAGGCTCTATTGTGTAACCCAATAAAGACGCTAGTTGTGTAACGAGGAGGCTCTTTCCGCAACCTTTGGGCCCTAGACATTAACAACATATGCGTCATTAAGATACAAAATTAAATTTATTTAATAGACTATGTGAGATAAATGAGTCATCATCATCCCAAATATATTCATGTCCCCATAGCTGAAGCCTTATCTATAGGTAGAATCGAATCAATTCAAATCTGTCGTGACATGCAGATTGGTGGGTGACAACGATTGCAGATGCTACCGGTACCAGCGGCTTAACGTATCTTCCAGAGCACATAATAGTTCGAGATAATAAATATTAGGTCACCCATCATAAACCAGGCCCTTGTGAAAGTTGCTTAACGAAAGTCACTGACCAAGCGCGTTAAGCACTACGCATTAGAGCTCCTCGGATACGTAAATAAAATATGGTTATGATGACAAAAAATAACACAAAAATTCAGTAGTAAAGTATGTGTGAAAAAAGTGTGAGACAATACTTCACATTTATCTTATGTTAAGATAAAATAGACAAAGAAAATTAAATAAAAGAAAGTTTGAAAGAGGAATGATAGAAAAAACTACAGTATCACAATTTGTAGTAAGTCACAAAAGGCATGAATGCGAATGAAGATATACCAGCAGAAAGAGTGATAAGACACTATGAAAAATGATACATGTAAGTAAAGGAAACAGTAATAAGCTTGGCTAATCGTGAAATATAGAATAAAATATATATATATATATTTATATACATATCGACGCTGGAAAGCAAACACGTAGTAACCCGCAAAACCAAAATTGTTCTTTAGAGCACAAAAGACTTTTATTTTTTTCGAAAAATAATTCCTATAAACGTCCATGGTAACAAATAAAGTGTTTATATGGAATTTATTTACCTTACTCAATTTATATGGAAAGAAGATTTTTTTTTTTTTGAAAAATATAAAGATTTTCCACTCTAAATATCCATTTTGGTTTTGCAGGTTACTACGTTTTTGCTTTCCAGCGTCGATGTATTGAACTAAACTCTGACTACAAGTGAACTTTTACAGAAGATTTCACAATAAATCACTTACCGACCACACAAAAATCACCAACACTGTGACTCAAAATCAATTCACTCAACAGCTCAGTCTGATACGCTGTCTTCACTACACCTCTCGCCTCCATACCCTTTCTGCTCCTCCCACCGCACGGCACGCCAAATTGAGACTTATGACCGTTGATTTCCATAGTTGCAACGGCCTGATCTGGCATGTACTCTACACCTCTCATAGAAATATCCCACTTAGTGGTGGTATCTATTTTCAAATTCTTCAAGACCACCTCGACGTTCTTCACGTGATCTTTAGATAAGAAAGTATTGTACGGATACAGGTAGTAAAGGAGCCTATGAACTGGTATATTAGGATTTTTTTCCTGAAATACAAGGTAAATTAATATATAAATTAATGTTGATTCAAAAAGTAAATTAATATTATTTTAAAAATTATAAAAACACCTTTAACTATTTATAAATGAATTTATTCACATTAGGACAGTATTTATTGTCAGAAGGCAACATTATTTTGATTTTTAATCAATTTATCAGCGTCGTAATTCAGATTATAAATACAGTACTGTACATTATATATTCTGAACTCAGCGAGGTATTCCGACTGTGGGATACCCGCTTAATATTAACAATTCGTTCAACAGTCTTATCATAGAAGCTGATAGAATTCGAAATTTAAACCTCGCTATTATACCGCAGACTCAGCAGTGCCGCCAGCCACGACATTCAAATATTTGCTAATTGTAAATGCCGCGCAAATGTCGTAAAGTTGGTTTAGGTTACGTGTCGATGGCGACAGACGGCCTTGGGACATGCCGCTGATGATAACGTCGCGTGAGAGGATATATATCGTCTGATGCCATCGGAAGGTCGTGAGGTGTCACGCGAAAGATATAATTTATATATCACCAGTAAACCGTCGCGGATTTACATGAGTACTACTGCTTATAATGATTTTTATCAAATTTAAATTTACATTTTTACTGGTATATTAGTCTCTAGATATAAATAAAAGCCCAGCTTTTATTTATATTTATAAATAAAGTCTAGCAATACTTTCATCTATATATATCTGTTCATATTATATCTGTTCATCTATACTAATATTATAAAGAAGAAATATTTAATAATATGTTTTTTTTTTGTTTGTAACGACGAAATGGCGGCGACATCTTTAAACTGGCGTTTCGACTTCAGTAATTATGAGATCTTTCAACTATAAATCGCAAATAAAACTTCAAAGGTTCAATATATTTAATTATGGGTCATTATCAGTGGTCGGAATTAGGTAGAGTTATTCATGTACTTACACTGATTTCATACAGCGAAAGAATAAAGTGGATATGCCTCAAATCCCGAGATTAATTTTAAAAAGCAGAAAAAATCCCGTGATTTTTTAAATAAAAGTTATTTACTTTTACACAATTTAAACTACTGCACGCACGACGTTGCCAAACTTACATCAATGAAAGAAAGAAATAAAGAAAGAAGAAATAAAGAAATCCCGGGAAGGTCCACATTAATATCAACATTTCGATGCAAGTACATAAATAACTCTACCTAATTCCGACCTTTGGTCATTATGCCCATGTAAAATTGACATTCATCTTTACAAATTGCACACGCTAACAACTTTCAAAAGTTGGTTTGAGTAGAATAATTATATAGTTAATAGAAATTTTATAGCACAAATAAAAAAAGTTTACAGAGTATTTTCTATTTAAATTGGACAATCTTTTCCAGACAATCTCAAATATTAGATGTGTGCCGACGGTAACTATATGAATATAAAAATGAATGTGAATGGCTTTACCAGTTTTAATGCAGCTGCTTGGAGACTGTCCACTGGGAAATCAGGCAAGCTGACTTGCTGAAGCTCCGGGCTGATCAAAGCGTATGCAGCGGACAGTAGCTGCTCCAACTTAACTGGGTCCACTGTCGGGGCTACTTCCTTCAGCAACGACAAGTGTTCCTATACAAGTAATACAGATTATAGACATTGAATAGCGGATAATCGTTTTTAAACATTTTATTGTTCTTTATCACAGGGAATATTTTGTCTAATAATTTATTATTTATATTTTACCGCGGCTTCAACCGCGTAAATTATAGCTAACCTAACTGTAGCTTTTCGAAGACGAAAGAGTAATTAATGGCAATTCATTAGTTTTAGAGCTTATTCAATAACACACCACATTTAATATAACAAAGCTCTACATCAAAAGCCCAAAATCAAAATGTTGCTTTTAACCTTCATGGTAATTAACGTTAGAATAATCGTTAAATGCTGAATTGCTATTATGGCACTTGGGTTTTGTTTTATTTTTTTCACTACCGTTGCATTGTGTGACGTAAGTAAGTGACTTGAATTTGTAGGGAGCGTTTTCGGCCACAGAACATAGAGAGAGAATAGAAGTAGTAAGTGGGCGGGGCACGCGTCGCTGGCATATGCGCTTTTACTCATATGACGCCCATTCCTCGGTTTTATGTTTGCCAGTCGTTCGTCAATCGTCGAGTGGTGATTTTACAGATTTTTTCTATAAAAAATGCCGTTTTGTGTTATTATCACTTGCAAAAAGCAAAGCAAAGTATACAATCTAACTAATGCAAACATTTCCTTTCACTGGTAAGTACAATTTTAGTGCTAAAATATAAAAAAACGTAATAATTTGACACAATGTTAAATAAAATATACATTGATTGCTCAAACCAACATCAATGTTTCTGACCTCATTACTAAACAGCAATGTAAATCATTTTGTGCACTTTTGCAAAAAATAGTGCTGTGCCTCCATTTATCTGAAATGTACCGATAGGCTACTGCTGCTCGGAATCGTATTGTTAATTATATGGATCGTAATCGATAACTAAAACATATTTGTTTAGAGCTTTTCTTTCATCATTTCATAACAACGTTATCAATAAATATATGCCATAATTATATAAAACTAAAAAATACTGTTTACAAGGGAAAATTATAGATGAACTGATACTGAACAAATGAAATAATGAACTGTCCAGGCACTTTTTTTACGAAGATTCGGTTAATTATTTACACGCAGATAAATATTAAAAAATACTGATGTGCTATAAATATCTAAGTTAAAAGTATATCACCGTTTTATGAACAATACATAAATTAAACGAAACTTCGCGAAAAGCTAAGAGTTGGCCTAATAGGTCTTGTTAGAAACTGGTGAAACTGGATTTCACTTATTTTGCATTACTTATATTTCAGTTGCCCTAATAACTTTACAACGGCTTGCCTTGTTTACATAATTAATTTTGCCCTATCTGTTTTAGACCTAAACCTATTAAATGAATTTCAAAACAACATAATATCTATACAAACAAAAAATTATGTTTTCAACTAACGTAATATTGTTGGTGGTGTGAATTTAATTTACAAAATTAATTTTTAGGCGTCAATTTAATTTACCTTATTATGCTGATTCATAATCGGAAACTATTATTATAGAAATCGAGTTAAGAAAGCCACTTTAAAGAACCGCCCACAGAACAGCTTTTATCAGTTTTTTGTTGCTCCATCTCCATATTTGCACATAAGTTTATAGACGCATGTCTCAAACGGATGTGACTTTATATGTAGATTGACGTTTGTACGTACTTATCGCTTTTGTGTCTATCTTCAAACTTTTTTTGTCACGGCTTTCAAACTCATACTTGACCAGCAATTCCTTATTGTCCAGTCGTTGCAATTAATAATGTAGCTACTACTATTATTACAGATATGAATCTTAGAATAATAAAGTAAAACAAACATGGCTATGATCAATTTATTAGTGTAATGATCATATTAGTTATTATGAAATGAAATGAAAATATCTTTATTCAAGAAGGCTATTACAAGCACTTGGAATGGCAAGTTTATTTTTATTTCTACTTTTTTTTGTGAAGGAATCGTAATGTTTTTTTGCGAACATAATATTTTCATTGATGTATTGAGAGGCAACAGTCAAAATATTTATTTCTTTAAATATTTCTCTGAGAGATTCTCTAGACCGTAAATTATATATAGCTTGGACAGCTCTCTTTTGTAGAATAAAAATATCTTGAATGCTAGCCGCAGAACCCCATAACAATAGATTATACGTCATTCATTACACTATGAAAATAACTAAAATATACCAATCTTGCCGTTTCAACATTTGTTAAGAGTCTAATTTTCTTAACAGCAAATGCTGCAGAACTCAGTCTACTTGACAAATTATCAATATACCAAAATACCAAGGAACTTTGTCGATTCCACCATCTCAACTTTTTCACTATTTACATTTATAAGTATATTAACATGCCTCACATTAGGTAATGCAAACTTTATATATTTCGTTTTATTTGAATAAAGCTTTAAATAATTACTATCAAACCACTGTAGAAAATTGTCGAACTGAATTACATTGAACTGTTTCATAACAAAATTTAAAGCTCTTATTTTATCAACTAATATGTCACATCACTAATATGCACAATCGGAATGATACCAGTAAGAAAAAAATACAAATTAGGTTTAATGTAATCAATACAAAAATTCTGTTGTTTTCTTAATTTTTGTTTTTTTTACACTTTCCCTCGCTTAATTATATTACTCCACAGACATACGATAGAGTGTATCATTAAGTTTTCTTAGTTCTTGTACTGCGTTTTTTAAAAGATATTTTAATAAATTATGTAGGTAGGCCTTAATTTTTCAGTATTCACTTGGTTACAGCAAAATCTATTATTAATAAATAGTTCGCACATAAAATGATGACTCCAATTTTTTTAAATGTGCATAATCTTAAAATATTTTTTTCCTTCTGGTATCCCCATATACAGCCACGTGACAGTTCAACATTCATGTTAAAGTAAATTATTTATTATCACGTTGAATTAGAGTTTGTTTTTAATCGTGTGATTTCTTAGCTTAGTATCTTTTTGGGATTTGATTTATGTTATCGCGAACCTATCGCGTGGCGGTTTTTCATGTAGTGAACAAAATGATCATTTCATCTAATCTGTATTTGTGTGCGGAGAGGCGACACTCGGTTCCCATACTAAATTAATATCATTATACTTCTAATCTCTCTCTATGTTCTGTGTTTTCGGCCAACTAGCAGCAGAGGGCATAGTGTAAGTTTTTCTTGACGTTTACGTTCACCTTCGATCGTGAGCGCGTTAAGGTTTTACAGTTCCACAAACAAAGCACCGTATCTCCGAAACTATTAATCGCAGACATGCTATTACTTCTACATTATTTCTTAGATATTAATGGACTTTTTATTTATAAAATAAAAAATGGTCAATTGGACGAATGCGAGTTATTAAATAAACATACAAGCAAACGAAATAAACATCAGGACAAAATTCAAAATATAAACTTACTAAAACATGTTGTAATATCCAAAGATATTATACAAACATATAAAAAATATTTCAACGAAATAATAGTATATTTGGTACCGTATTTCGATGAAATGCGATACCAATCTTGAATCCTGAACTATTAATTTAATTCAAGTCGATGATCATTCATGCCAATGTAAATTCAAAACTGTAGTAGAATCGTGAGAAAACTCAATTTAAACCGGAATAGGTTCAAGTTATTCGACTTGATTTATTTCGATAAATACTATTCAGCATAGTACTAACGTAAAATATAATTTAGATATTTCACAAGAATTAAGTACAAAAACTTGAAAAAACTATTTTGATCAAACTCTCAATTTATAGACAAAAATGTTATTGTTATCAGTGTGCTAATATTTCAAAAAGTATGAATTTAGTTACCTAATCCCTTTATTGAAAGACTAACTGTGCCAGCGACTTCTTCCGTATGGGAAGTAGCCTAAGTTACTTTTTATTACATAATTTGCCAATGAATGTCCTGTCTATTCGGTCCAGTCGTTTTATAGATCAGCCGGAAGAAACAGACGGACAAAAATGTAAAAAAAAATATTTCGATATAATAACGATTCGCTTCTAGCAATTCGTGCACGTAACATATACACACATATGCATTTACTAAAAAGCGGTTATTATAACATTACAAACAGACACTCTATTTTAATGTATTTGTATAAAATAGATGCACAGATGTCATATCACAATTAAGACAATTAAAGATACGAGACACGCAAATCGCAATTACCTACCTAGCGATAATTACGAGAACATGCTAGCTATTTTCCCGCGACTTCGCCAGCTTAAATTATAGCCCACGTCACTTGCGTATGATGTAACTTCCCATAGGGGAAAGAATTTTTATGACTGAATCTATATTTCCAAAAAACACCGCCCACAAACAAAGTTAAAACTATTGTACAGTTTTGTTCTAATAGATACGCTATTATCTATTAGAACAAAACTGTACAATAGTTTAAAACTTTAAATTATGACATAAAAGTTAATAATTAATAACGATATGACAAATAATATTGCACCAAATATATTTTCACGTAAAATTTCGCCAAGACCATATGGGCTCGCACTGTCAAAAAATTATCAGATCTCTTGTAGAGCAAAGCTCCGACTCTACAAGCCCCTACTTAATAAACTCCTTTGTCAAAATATGTAACGGTGCGTTGTACACACGGCCGTACGTTAGATTACCACAATATGTCTAATTCTGCAATGTATCTCGAGATAATAATATTTTGGTTACCATCCGTGACCGGCGCTTACGAAAATTGCTCAACAACGATTACGCTTATCCACTACGCCACCGAGCTGCTATATACTATAGTACAGATAAATAAGTATTTATAGCGTAATTATAGAATCACTGTTCCGAAAATCGTCACGCAAACACGGCACTACGAGAGCGGTGACTCCGCAGCACGACACCTCATGAAAAATTTGACTTTGTTTCCCACAAAAAAGTTCCTATGCACGAAATATATAGAGTATAAAGAAAAAATATTTAGTACCAACTAAGTAAAAACAGACACGATGAGATACATTTCACCCGCAAAA